ATATATGTACATATTGTAATATGTCACATTCCATAACGATGCGCTGAGTTGACTAATAACTAAATAATTGATAACGGATAACGCTTGTGGGCTGTGGTCGGTGAAAAGTATCAGTTCTGAATATATATAAATATAGCTCATAGTGAATAATAGCCAAAAAGAGTGCTGTAGTGCAAATTGAGCTTACATTTTAATGTAGTTCTAGCTAGTAGTTCTCCGTTCAGGTCTGGTTTGTTCAAAAAGCTTAATTACAGCATGGTGTATTATTATTTCAAGTTCGAGGACTGTATGTCTTATAGTCTAAATCAAGCCTTATGTATACTTATATACATAAATCATAATAATAAAGCCACTTTAATCCTATACTGTTAAAAAAAACATGTGAGTACTTATGTAGGTACACGCGTTAGAAGTTATACTTCTTTGGCGTAACAACATAAAAATCTTTTCACAAATTGTATCTTTCGCCTTATTCTACGTTTGTATGAAAAACAGACACTAACAATAGAAAAAATTTAGTCTCATAATTTTTCCCTAACGCGCCTAAAGAATTATAACTTCCAAAATACGAGTACATATCAAATGGGTGTTAGTTTTGTTATTATACTCTAGTCTACGTTTGATATTGTTATTTCCGTTTCTTTGTGTGTAGCAGTATGGAGTCCTTTTGGGCAAAGGCCTCATCCTGAATTTTCCAGTTGGATCAGTTGTTAGCTTCCTTCATCCAATTCTCCCCAGAAACCTTAACTTAGCCCAGCGCTTTTGTGATCTACCCACGTTTCTTTTTCCTGGAGGTCTCCTCCAGTAGGTGGCTTCCGCGGTCCATCATTAATCTGTCCACCTTGCAATATGGCCTGCCAATTTCCACTTCAGATGTTAGGCATCGGTGATCTTAGTTTTCGGCCTGATGTGGTCATTTCGAATTGTGTGGATCTTTTTAATTTTTAGAATTCCGAAGTAAAAAATATTTTATTCATAACAGGTAATAATAAAAGGTAGCCAGAGGAGTAACATAAGCAGTCTTAGTGCTGAGAAAAGTTTCTTCTTTGGGTAAGATCAAGTCGAGGCTATGCCCAAATCCCATTTACACATAAAGTATTAAGGAACTCATGCTTAGCGGTAATTCCGGGACTCTTACTTATACTATTCCGGAATCTTAACCACATATATTATACTATTCTACGTTATTATTTGGTTATGCAGACTCCAGTTAAATTACTAGGGTTACTGTAATTACTTCGTACATACAGTATTTTAATTTTACACTATTGTTTTGTTATACAAACGACTTCCTGTCGTTTAATTAGTTTCATTTGTAATTGTAATTAACAATGAAAATTATTTTAAACCTAATGCAACTTTCCGTTAAAACCTTAAATATTAGGTCCTTACATATGAAATTGGCGTTTTGTATGGGAGGAACAAAAGTCGAATATTTTTAAATATAATATATTTAATTAATCAAAATATGAACCATTGTTTTCTATGCACTTTTGCCATCTCATAGGTAGTTCATTGATCCTTTTACTAAAAAAACCAGTCGGACGGGAATCAATAAAATCTGTGAAGGCGATTTGGACTGCCCCATCAGAGTTAAATTTTTTCCCTTGCAAGAAGTTGTCCAAATTTCGAAAAAAATGGTAATCTGTTGGAGCAAGGCCCGGGGAGTACGGAGGATGTCTTAGACATTCCAATTGAAGCTCTTCTAATTTGGTAGCCGTCTGTTGTACAGTGTGTGGTCTAGCGTTGTCGTGAAGTAGCAGTGGCGTGGAGCGATTGACCAGCCTAGGTTGTTTAGCCGCTAGCTTTTCCATCATGGTTTGCAATTGCTGACAATAGACATCAGCCGTAATAGTCTGGCCACATTTGAGAAAACTGCAATGAACATTACCGGCACTAGTCCACCAAACGCTTACAAGTAACTTTTTTGGGGTTAATTTTCGCTTGGGGCAGGATTTGGCTGGATGGCCAGGATCCAACCATTGCGCTGAGCGCTTCCGATTATCGTAAAGAATCCATTTTTCATCACAGGTAATGATTTGGTTTAAAATACCTTCATTATTGTGCCGGTTCAGTAATGTAACGCAGCAGTCGACGCGCGTTTGCCGGTTTGCTTCAGTCAATTCGTGAGGTACCCATCTTTCAAGCTTTTTAATCTTCCCAATTTGATTCAAGTGAATTAAAACAGTTTTATCACTAACACCGCAGCCTGCAGCTAACTCGGACGTGGTTTGCGATGGATCCGCTTCCACAATAGCCTTCAAAACTTCATTATCAACTTGGGTCTCAGGCCGTCCATGGGGCTTGTTCTGCAGGTCGAAATTTCCAGAACGAAAACGTTGGAACCAAAAACGAACTGTGTTTTCTTTTGCAACATGACCGCAATACACATCATTCACCATTCGAGTCGTTTTCGCAGCACTAGTGCCACGGCGGAACTCGTACTCGTAAATACTGCGATACTTTAAGTTTTCCATTTTGTAAAATGAGTGACGCAAACAGAAAAAAACAGAAGAAAAAAACAAATGAATGACGGTCATCGAAGCACAAATACATGAGTAAATAGCTGTACAAATTTTAATTTGGAATTCTTAACCAAAGAGGAGATATTTCAGGTCAAAGTGGCCAAAACGTAAAACGCCAATTTCATATGTAAGGACCTAATATAAAGATAATATGTTGTTTAACATTTAATAAAGTATTTTATTAATAATTTGAATTAAAACCACATTAGGGTAGTTTTTTAGTTACAATTGTGTTTGACCTAGTATATATATATACAATATACATACATATAATTATGTGTTGTGTACCTTATAAATGAATAAAAACGACTGCTATCGTTTCGTTGGAACGTATTACGAAATATGTAATAGTTTTATAAATTGATATTAACAAAATTTGCGTAACACGGCCTTGAATGCAATATTACAAATTCAGGAGTGAATTGTCCCAAAGGGCCATCAAAGACCACACACGCTTCGATCTTGACACGTATTTATTTTTAACGCCTGATGTTTTATTATAGCAATCGTATAATGATTATGATGCATGACAATAGCGATTACTTGCGGATTTGCTAATAAGACGTAATATTACGTATTGTTTTAACTTTGTGGTTAAGCGTGTGACATCGGACACTGAAGTAATGTATTCAATAGATTTCTCCACACTTTATATTAACAGCTTAACCGATCTACATATCAAATCAATATCATTTATTCATATAAGTAACACAATGTACACTTATGAACGTCAACAAAAGAAATATACATTAAATGCTTCTAATTTTACATACTGCCAACTCTCAAATCAAGGGCGTAGAACGGAAGAGAAGAACTGACAATAAACATTAAGGAGTGAATTGTCCTACAAATCAACATGTCAGATCAATAAATAAACAGAAGTATTCGGAATGCTCCATATTTCATTGGGAGATGATGCTTTCCTAGGTTCAAGATTGATTTGTTCAAAAACTATTTTTAAATATGGAGTTTCTTGCCCATTCTTATCGACATGAAACTACCTTTTGGAAGGGGCAACTAAAGTATTTTTTTTTTTAATATTTTGAACTTGTAATTGTAACTTTCAAAAGTGCCTTTTAAATAGGCCTAATTGAAATAAATGATTTGACTTTGACTTTAATCAACGAACCCCTTCACTTGTTTCTGTGCTATGCATCGCTAACAGGACTTTAAACAATTATAAAGGTTATATTTACCGATGCAAAAATCTAGTAAAATAGCCTAGCTAACTGTAACCTTGCCTTCGCTCTAATAAACTCAACGTTTTTAATATGAAGGAAATAACCAACTGTTATCAATGTATTTTGCACGTTTTACTTCGCGTATTGTATAATAACTTCAGTTGTGTTCGCGCCGCGGTAGTAATCGTGCGACTTTTTTGTATTAAGTGTTTATAAAACATTACCACCGTGACGACAAAGTGCATTTTGATATATGTTTTTATCGAATTAATTGTAAGGGGGCGTAGCTACAGTTGTGTGAGGTTATTAGTCTATTGCGGTTATTAATACAGATTTCAACAGGTGCAATTGCAATACAGCCTTGAGTCTTCAAGAATAAGTTATTTTGAAATAGCCTTTTGTTGACAATTGACATAGATTGAAGACGTTTTGCTTAGACACGGTTAACTTAACGAAAACATACATTTGCTTTTAAGAAACTACACACAGTCTCAGTTCTTCTGATAGAACTTAAAAATCCTTAAGAAGATAGATCCTTTTATGTTTATTCTTGATGGTAGAAGTTTGTTTTGGTTAATCTTTGACGCAATTTAAATCATTACATATTCGTTGCGCACCATTTGACCACCTTTAAGGTGTGCATTTCCGTTGGTCCTCTCTAAGAATGGTCATCGACAATTTAGTCGCTGTAGATAATAGCAGTGAATCTTATCTGAGTAGGTACGTGTTCACCAACATTATTTCCATAGTATGATATCAATTATCGGAGTCGTGTCGAACGCACAAATACATTTCACTCAGGAAGTTTGTTATGTCAATTTTTGAACTTCGAATCGTATTTCCACCTTCTCGGAAGCTCGCGTGATCTTTTGATTTCATCTGATACACTTGAATGCGTTCGTGGAATCCATAATGTACGCACCGTAAATCGTGCCGCACGGATTCTCTCTACTCGATTACGTTTTGATTACTCTTTTGTCCCGAATCGAAGGCGCGGTCATTTGTCAGAAGAAGTCCGGAATTTGCCGTGACCTACTCCAAAAAGGCTTGAGGCAATTCCATAACGTATGGTGTGTGTTTGGTCAATAGCGCGCGAAGGCCAAGGCTTTTTCGCGCCATTGACCTGGCACAGACACTTCTTACATTTAATAGTTATCTAACACGATTAAATATAGCTATTCAAACTCTTAACTGGCAGTTAGTGCAAAACAATGCGTCATTTCCCAGATTTTTTTCATTAAAAGTGCGAGAAACTGATGCAAAGATTAACGTTTTGTGACAATGTGCTTACGTAATGGAGGATGAGCAACCTGTGCCGCCTCCGAGACGCAAAAAGCGCACGCAGATAGCTTCTACCAATGACAAGCAGAAGAGAACTGTCAGTTGGGTAAATGTTATTTTAGATGTATTTTCTTACACATCTTAAAGACGGCAGACAGAATCGGTCTCTATTACATTTAGCTAAATATTTTTGACCTTAATACCTATAAATTAATATGATGCAAACATCACGATAACTTGACATGAAAAGCCGGATCGCGTACAAAAGGCAAGAGACAAAACAGCTTTGTAAATATCAATGTTCAATACAATTCTCGATTGAAAGCATTGCGTGGGAACGACCGATCACAGTTCTATGGGCTCTGAACATAATGAGCTTTATACATTTTTGCAAAGATATTTTTTACTTGTACGTTTATTTATACATAATATATATAGGTCTTTCTATAATAGTATGCGTTTTAAAATTAGGACCTAATTCATAAATTCTTCTATGTTCGCAAATTAGTAACTTAAATGTTTTGTCTCGCTAAAATATTCTATAGCTATTTAAAGATTTAAATAATTAGTCGGTTACCTTGTTTTAAACATTAATAATTGTTTTAATTTATTTTTATAATTATAATATATTAAAATTAAAATTATAGACTCAAATTAAGCAACCAATTTCTTATTCACAGGGACCTGAAACATGGGTTGGTGTGAGAGCGCTGCGGGCCAGTTCCGGAGGTATACTAGACCCAGATGACCGGGTGTGTGACGTGGCCGATGACCGTGAAACCCTCACTGCAGAGTGCACAAATCAGGCACCACAGCCTCGAGCAGCACAAGCAGATGGCGCCAGTGGATCTTCAGCTGGCACCGCCTCCCCTGACATGTTTCGGGTAAGATTTTGTAATTCACATCTCATCATACTAATACTATAAAGAACGTTTGTAGTTTGTAACTAATATACGCTAAAACTATTGGATGTATGTATTTAAAAAAAATCTAATGTTACAACGATGCAGCGTTGTAACATTAGATTTTTTTAAATATCTCTTAGTGACAAGGATATATTTATTTACAAAATAATTTTAATAGAAATGCCTAGTTAGTATATTATATTGTAAAGTGATTGAGTTCATGAGAGAGGGAGACAATGTCATAATAGTAAAAAATATCTGAACCGCTATTAAAAATGAATTATATTTATATACAGCATGTAAAGGCGTGTTTATGGAAAAATAATATTAATTGCAATTATGGCATCAATCGTAATATTAGATTATACAATTATTTAATAAATTTTCTATCAGTTAAATAATTCCTGACGGACACGATTTGGGCAGTCCAAAAGACAGGGCTCCGTTCCTTCTTAGACTATAAAAATATATTTGAATTAGGAACAAAAGCGGGAAAACGCAAGGAAAATTCTATGACATGTTAAGACCTGGGGGCCTACCATGAACTCTTATTGCGAGCCTATTGACAACCTACAACTGAGACGCATCGCTAATTCGTACCATGACATCGAAAAAACGAGACAGTTTAGGTTCCCACGTGACCTTAGCGGTTATCAGATTTCGTTCGTTCAATTTGTATGAAAATCCGTACCATGACCGCTCGGCTGAACCGAAATTTGACAGTTGCGCCTTCCAACTATGACAGAATAAGCGATTCTAAAAAAGTTACTTTTTGTCCAACTTTTTTGTATCGAAATGTCCAAATAATAGTTAAGAACCTATAGATATATATAGTATACTGTATAGTATGTATCTACTATGTCTGTTTCGGATAATTTGAGGTATTTTGAGTTTAGAAAGTGTCATTATAAATTAATTATTAAAATATCGACGGAGATGAGAAACAAGACGGCAATGCCCTTCTACCTACTTCGTAGATATCGAGTTTATATTTTGCTATAGATTAACGACTTTGATTCGTTGAGGATTTTAGTGTACCTAAAAATAATTGCACAAGCTGTTCAATAATATTCAATTAATTATTTAGGCATGTCTAACACAAACATAATTCCCCAATATATCAGATTTTATAATAAATAAGCTTGCCATATCAATTGAAGATATTTATTATAATTAAATTTTTCCTCATTATGTTCATGATTTGATTGATTATCCTCTGCTTTTTGTTGTCTAAAAAACATAGGTATTTTTATAACGTGTAAATAATAAGCCATTTGAAAATAATATAATAACAGTATTTATTTAGTAGATGACTCCATCAAGACAGAAAAAGGTGTCTTCAGGCAATGTTCAATTGGATATAACCATATATTCATATATTTCATTCTCTCAATTCAGCGAGTTTGTCAGGTTTAAGCTGTAAAGAAAATATAATTACATATTTATATTATATGAATTAGTTAACGTATAAACTAAATTTGTACAATTTGAAGGAAATAATTTTTATTATGATTTTCGAATATTAAGTTGATTTGTAATATCTTTTGCAAAGAGTTTTATCAGGAATTAACTTCGATATAGGTATTTATTTTTAATCAACAAATTTGTGAACAATACTTACCCCCTCATATTATTTAATAAGTGAAACAATTTGTAAAACTATAGTTATAAAACTGAAATTTTGTAAACACCAAAATATTGAAAGCCCCTATCAAAATTTGACGGAAACGTTTAAAAATAATAAGTGTCCACTGTCATAGCACCAGAAAACTGTTGAAAATATATCAAAAGAGTAGTTTTATATATTAAATAAATAAATATATTAAGACATAATAGCTTATTATGATTGATGAATTATTGAAAACAATTTTATATTTTATTTATTTTTATAGAAACATCTGTCAAAGAAAGTTTGACAGTTAAATTTCAAAACTTACATAGAAACCTCAAATAAAATTATCGTTCTTTCATTCGGTCTTGCGATGCAAATACGTTTCAGCTTATAGGCGGTCATGGTACGAAAAAATGCTATTGACTTTAGGTACCTAAACTCAACTGCATCTCAACTGGATTGTTTTAAGAAAGTTCATGGTAGGCCCCCTGTACAAAGATTGCTGAACTTTGTACATTTGCATGTTTCATCTAGTGTTTGACACATTTCTTTTGTCATTAATCGTAATGTGTACGAATAGAGAACATCAAATAATTTCGGGAGTGTGTATGTTCTTTGGAATGGGTGCATGCTTTTCTGGATGTTATATAAAGAAAAATATACCAGTAAGTGTGAATTATTCAATTTCTACTGACTACTTTATGGCTTAGTGTTTGACACACACAGTACTGGTAGATAGAAATAGCAAGTAGGTTGCTTTTAGAATTATAAACTGTTTTTTCTATTATTTTAACATTTAGTAAATTGCTATGCAATTAAAAGGTACTGTCTTATCAAAAACCTGTTTGGTACACCTTTTTTAGGCAAGAGTTTTATCGTAACTTGTAGTTAATTTAGAATTCAGGCCAATATGTATGACTAGGATAAGCAAGGTTTCATTATTGACGCATTTTGATTAGGTTCGATTTTTGACGAAAATATTTAAGGGTGAACATAGACGGCTGATCACCTGCTTTCCTTTATAAAACGGTTATTAATCAAAACGACTCATATCAACAAGTAGCTCAATAAGACACCGGCCTTGTATGTTCCATAACTGAATTGTTCTGAACTTAATGTCATTGCTTGTGGCGGCGTCCATGCGTCGGGTTGTCTCTCTCCCTAAAATATGGCGAGGGGGCCGATGGCTGGCCATGCGTCATACTCGTGAACGGGTGCTACTTGTGGTGACTGGTCGTACTTGAATTCGTGTATGCGGTGATGTTAATTATTTCGACTATGTGTTTGCGTGTTGTTCCCACGAGAATGTAAGTGCGTGCTCCTATTTCACCATGCCTCCTGCTGATAGGGGACAAGTCTTTGTTTTTATTTATGTTATTATTATTAATTACTTAAAATGTCATGTGGAACATGGTGTAATGGTTGCAGCTCCTTACAAACGTTGTGTTAAAAAAAACATGGCGATTAAAAAGAGTGGCGGAGAGTTTATTGCCAGTTCTTCTCTTCCGTTCTACGCTATTGATTTGAGAACTAGCAGTAAATGTAAAATTAGAAGCATTAATATTTATTTCTTTAATGACGAATCACAAGTGTACATTGTGTTACCTACGTGAATAAATGATTTTTGAATTTGAATTTGAATTTAATAGTACCTACTGGTTACACAGAATAGTAAAGATAGACTATAATCCTAAATTAGCTACTGTCGTATTTAAATTCAAATGACACGAGAGTGATGAGAAATATTTAATGTAATCTTAATTAAATAATTTAGTGGATAATATTATATTTTGAAATATACGAAACTAACCGTTTTGTTTGGTGTTATAATGAAAAATTAAGCAAATATGTTTTATTTAATTAATAACGAAAGCTACCATTACTAATAATTCCAATGCGGTAACTATTTACATATACATCACATACAGAACAATACATACACATAGAAACACAACATTAAACAGTACCTAATAGATTCAGACAAAAAGACTAACTATTTCTTACAGTCTAGGAACTGACATGAAGCAAACCTTTTGTCAATTCACTCAACGGACAATTAAAAACGTCTGTTAATCTATATATATTATATAGATTATATACAGTATTTGCAATTTTCTTAACTTACTTCGTAATCATAATCCTAATAAGTATCGCAATACAGCGAGGAAATGCTGCCAGCGTTAAAGGTACACTGCCACAGGGACCAAACTTTTTAAATTTGTTTTAATTTTTAACATAATATGATGGATATAATAGTTATTCCTCATTGTTATAGAAATGTAAACAGAAAACCCTCATAAGAGTCATTTATTTGTGGCTTATACTTAGTATATAAGGTGACACAAACGTAAAAAAACGTAAGATGACACAAAGGTGACACAAACGTAAAGAAACGTAAAGTAACGTGTTGCCATGGTAACAATTCTTACATGTAGACATAACTAGGACATGACATTTGTTAGTTAACGTAAATTTTTGTCTATCTGCTATTGTTATAAAATAATAACCTATTATAACAGTATTCTTTTTATTCACGAGGTAATTGTCACTCACTTAGGCATATCAATTTAACATTGGTTCCGTATTCCGTATCGACATTTATTCTGTTATATTCAAATTAAACAAAAATTTTGCAATTTCATATATTTAGTTACGGTGCAGTAATTTTGCGTCAGTGTGAAGTTTTGAAATTGTATTTTCGTTAATTTAAAATAGAAAAAATAACGCCCTATTTATTATATTCGATATATTTACTTTACATAATCTTTAAACTCATATTACAAATATATATGTGTGACAAATTGTCCATGCACAGGACCCCAGTTTCTATAACGGACTTGAACTGGGCTAACTGGATTTGTGAACGGCAAACAGACAGTTAACATAATTATTCTAATTGTATATTTTATTATCCAAACCTTATATATGTATATAAAGTACTTATCTTATGGGAACTGCAGTACCATATATTATACAAACTTTGCTATTAAAAAGAATGTCTTGCCAGTTACTCAGCCGCTCTACGCCTTGGACCTGGTAGTAAATGTTAATATTTCATATGTATACATAGTTAAAACATAAAATAAATCAGTGGCGCTACAACCTTTTTAGGCCTCAGATTTATGTATCTGTTTCATGATAATTTGTCAATCTAAAAGGCAAATAGGTGATCAGCCTCACGTGCCTGACACTCGCCGTCGACTTCATGAATCTAAGGATTCCTCACGATGTTTTCCTTCACCATTCGAGTGAATGTTAAATACGCACATATAAAGAAAATCCATTGGTCCACTGCTGAGCATCATACCTACGACCTCGGGAAAGAGAGTCGCATGTTGAAGCCACTAGGCCAACACTGCTCTCACTCAATCAAATCAAATCAAAATACGTTTATTCAATTTATATGCATTTTAGAGCATGCTTATGAATGTCAACAACGTTTACAAAATTCACGAAAGAGCAAGACTACGCCATCCGTTCGCAAAACTACCAGGAGGCCTTGTTGATTGTTCTGAGAAGAACGGGCAAGAAACTCAGCAAGTTTTGCCCTCCCTTTACATTACAATTATTCAAAGGAAAATGTCATAAACCACAACGTCATTAAAGTTACATAAGTAAAAAAAATAAAAATTTGTTCTGTGATTTACCACATTCACCATTACACACATATTCATAACACTCCTGTAAGTGTTCATAGTTACCAATATTAATAAATGATTTTGATTTTAATAGAAAGTATTTAATAAGAATCCATAGAATCCGAACTGTAAAAGACATTGTTATGATATGTTATATGTCCACACTACGTATATATATATACGAACATGTACAACAACATATTCTTAATTTCAGGTGAATATTTCCTAATAAGTATACATAACTGAAGTTGTCATGTTATCTATAATTCGTTATTGTCTCTCATTGCTATAAAAACCCGACCTCATTCATGTAATCGATATATTACTATATTATAGTTTGTCTTAAAAATAAATCTCTAGATATGTTTTCATGTTTATATTTTAGGGGGGAGGCGGTGTCGGCGGCAGCATGCGGGTTCCGAACACAGATTCTTGTGTGGAAGTCGGCGCTGCTGACTTAGAAGATGGCGCCAATGGCCTGCAGGTGCGACGAGGCAGCGAACCCACCTTACACCAGGATACTCTTCCTCCACAGAGACAGGTATGTAGGACATACATACATTTTATTATACTAAACCAAGCGAAAGTGAGGATTATAAAATAGTTATTAAAACTACTTTTTCTATTAAGATTGTTTAATTTAATTTCGTTGGCGTTAACTCCGGTTTGTTTCAGAACTGAGATAATAAAAATGAATACAGTTATAATTATTTCTCGATATCGTATATAGATTGGAATTATTAACCAATGAATTTGTATGTATTAAAAGTAGTTGAACGGTTTATCAGATAATTTGGGCTTATTAGCTTATATCATTTGCGTTCAAAGTATTTTTAATTTTAATCAAGATTGTTCGAACCCTAGAATAAAAACTTAACAAGCTTATAATATCGATTAAATTAAATAACCTAAAAATAATGAACGGCTCAAATAAAAAAAATCCACCTTTGATTTTGTTCCCTTTGACTCTTGAGCCGTAGTATATAAGTAGTATCTATAATTATTATTATTGTTGATTTTCATATATGTAAAAATTTCAGGATACCGACCAAACGAAACGCTGGTCAGCGGCAGTGGTGTGTCGTGATGACCACCGACCAGAACCCCCTCATCCCGACAAACATTCGCATTTCCAGAGACAGACCAACAGATTGTCCATGCAGTTTTCTGGGCCAGGGTGAGTCCGATACATTTTATATATTAATGAATAGTAAACGAGGTGAAGCCTTTAATGTAGTGTTGCCCAAAATCGGTCTTGGTCTTGCAGTCTTGGTCTTGTTCTTGCGTTTCCGCAAGACCAAGACCAATACCAAGACCGCCTTATTATAGCAAGACCAATACCAAGACTGAACCCTGCAAGACTTGAGCAAGACAATACTTAATTAAGCCTGCAAGAATCTTGCGTCTTGCAGTTAAGACAAACTGAGATTTGGGCGTTATTAAATCAAATACCTACTGTATTTGGTTTCAATCCCGATTTTGAGAAACGTTCCCCAGTATCAAAACCGTAGGTATCACATATCCTAACACTAAACTAAGGGCTGCAGTTGGCAACGTGCCGCTCGTCTGAAAGCACCCTGAAACGTATTGTATTGATTAGGTAGGTAAGTACTTATTATATTTCAACAATTTATTAAGTAGCGTGTTAATACTCACAAATCTGTTCCCACCATCCCATGTGATAAAATTTACCTAGAATAACTTTATAGCAAAGTTCATACCTTGTAGGTATCTACCTATAATAATATGTTATGCTTGTTTATGTCTAATGTGCAGATCTAATGTTAGTACTCGTAGGTTGCTGTGCTCGTATGTGCTTAAAATTATAGCTAACAAAATTATATAAACATCATGTAGGTTAAATTAAAACTAACAGCGAGTCGAGTAGGTCTAGTAACAGTTTCTACAGCACCCAATATTATGGTACAGACGCCAGCACATCAAGCTACTAATAAAAATAATCTATCAAATTTCTTCAACAGATTTTCAAGTTTATCGCTAAGGAATTAAGGTTCAAAGTTGATTGGGGAAATGTGACGTTCTGCGAATAAACTGTTGGTCGGTCGGTGTATTATATACCTACTTATTTGATAATTTACCGACAAAGACGCCGCGGTTTGCAACAAGTGTATCACAGCATTTGACACTGTTTGAGCGCCGCATTCGCCGACAAAGAGTACGGACAGAGGCACACAAATTTTTACCTATTTTGGTAGGGTTGGTTAGCCTTAAATGACCTTGAAGATGTCCCAGCAGTAGGAAGGTATAAATTGAATGCTCTGTGTTGCTTTTATTTAAATACATTCTCACACTGCCTGGCTTGAATTCGAACACTACAGCGTTAAAAGCTGTCGGGCGAGATGATAATTAATAACTAAGTAGGTATTGCATCTATTGAATTGCGAATATTTTGATTTCGAAATAATCATTGTTAATATCGGTAAATGATAGATAGTGAGTGATACTTAGGTACTAAAATGTGAGCAGCAAGATTGAAAAGTGTATATGCCATGTCAGTGCTTTCAATAAGTTTATTTTAAAAAAAGCTCTCTAGTAAGATTTAGAGTTTACCATTCAATTACACACAACAAATTATTGAAAAACAAAAATTATGAAAAAGATATTTAGACTGAGTACTTAGGAAATAAGTAGAAAAAATATTCTATCGTGGATACCGAGTTATTAAAAAGTGGATAAACGTTGTGTTTACTTAATTTTATTTTTCTGTGCCAACATTGACATTGTGGGGTTGCCAACATTGACAACCCCACCAAAATAGGTAAAAATTTAGTCCGCTTCTAGACTTTGTGTTGCCGCCGTCGCTTTCATGTCAAAGGTCGCCGCCACTGCCCATGTTCTAAAGAATAAAATAAGTTTCTGGGTGCTATGAACGGACGCAAATAGATTATGTTGTTCTCGCAAGGAAGAATGTAGTCGTAAGGATAGGTAGATTTTATAAAAAAAATTGTAAGTAATAAAAATATACCTAGATTATATTATTATTACCTATTATACCTTTTTAAAGGACATTGCACTGCAAAATTGGAAGTGGGTGATTTTAACAAACTTAAAACGTGGAAAAGCTCCAAATATGAGCGACGTCATATTTCTTTACGCATTTTGTTTTAAAATCACACACTTCCAAAAATCGAGATTTGCAGTGTCGGTTTATCAACTTCTATCGTACCTACTCTAGTAGCGACTATTGTCTTCAGAGATGATTTACTAAATAAATAAAAATAATCGTCGTGTAGGTACGACGATAATTTTTCTAAGGAATACAATTTTGTTGTAGTAGGTACCTACATCGTTTCTTACTTACACATACTTTAACGACAGTACCTACTTAGCAAAGCGCGCCAGTCACGAGTATGACAAATTGCCTAAAAAACCTACCTACGCACACTGTAATGAAATCTGCTAATCTCTCAATCTCTGCCTGTAGCCTGCCTGCTATTATTGGTTGATGAACATTGTACATTGGTGAATGCTCCAGGATAGCCCGCAAGCCCCCACAAATAGTAATAGGCTAATAGGTATTTGCAAGTCTCATGAGACTTGCAAGACTCTTGCTGCAAGATCAAGACCAAGACCAAGACTGAGAGCGCAATACCAATACCAAGACCAAGACCAGGTGTATTGACGCAAGACAATACCAAGACTGGTCTAAGTCTCGTCTTGGTCTTGCATTTGGGCAACACTACTTTAATGGGAAATAAACGACCGTCAATCAATAAAAACTCATTTGCAACACGGGAGTTATCACTCTAGAACGCTAAACCAGTTTGTAGAACGATTAAATAACGTAAATTTAGTTTAACAGTCACATACTTATGAAAATATGTTATAGAAAGCATATACGTGTGTGAAAATGACACGAGAGCTTAGGAAGGCGCATCGCTAATCAGATCTATGCAACTTCCTCACAATCGAGTAGCCCGCAATATCGCAGCACACATGTAGGAATAAAGATTCTTTATTTTTCTTTATTATTTTAAATTTTTGACCAAGCCTTTTAAAAACAGGAGTGGCGTATGGATGGAGGCGGCTGAACGAGTACAGATCTATGGCAGTAAGAGTTTGCCAAGAGATGCGAGACGCGATCCGTTAGGGCAGGACACCGCTAACGAACAACAAAACAATAGGTACCATCAATTCTTCCATATTCTTGGTTTTGCGATCTATTTTTAGCAAGGTGATGTCGTGACTTCCAATATAATACAATTTATAGTATTAGTCAACATTTAGATCTCCAAGGCTCTTTAGACCTTCATACATACATCGATCCGTACCCAACTCACAACAGCGACAGCGAATTGTATCTTATTACGGCCATACAATGCGCAGAGGCTATGAGGTCTTGGAGAAACTGATCGTTGTTGGTAAAGGATCGTTGACCAACCAGATGGATCGATCAAGTGAAAGACTCAACGCCCTCAAAGCTATGCACTGTCATAAGAGAGGCGCCGTTTTCTTTCTGACCACAACGCTCAGACATGAGCTGGCGACTGAAGAGATAGATATCTCCAAAGAGAGTTTAGAAGGATTTTATTTATATTATCAGTTAAACACATTCTTCATTGCGGTAATGTTTCTTTCAGTTCTGTAGCCTATTAGATGCTAGGTTCATTTATCGGCAAAGATAATGTTGGCACAGAATGCAAAGCAGAAATGTGCCCTGTATTACGATGATTAAGGAATGCAGAGTTAAAAAACGAGGGCATTTCTCCAAACTTTTTTTGCGTCATAATAAAGAATTGGTAATGTTTCAGGGTAGAAGATATGCTGCGATGGGTAACCGGTGTAAATAACGTAGTCAATGTGAATCATGTGCAAGAAAGACCCTTGGATTTACTACCTGAAGGTAAAAACTATTATGTTAATAGATGTTTTTTAAGTTATTAAATGTAAAGCCTTTATAAAATAAAAATAAAATATGATACTTATGGAATATATGATACAGGTATCACTTATTCCACGTCATTAAATTTGAATCTTTAGGCATCCCTACTCATCGGCAAAGAAGACAGAGGGTATAGGCCGAGAGAAAAAGCCGGCGTAAAAAACTCTCGGTACTCTTTTAAAATATCAAATCATCATACAAAATGACTATGGCTAATATAAGTGTTGTTTACACTTATTTTAAAACAAATATCGCAAATTAATTAGAAGTAGCCTGTCTAGCACTAGTCCTAGGCCCTTTTATCAACTAGACAATCGTTAACTTTATAGTAAGCCTAAATAGATTACTTAATGATAAACGAAAATATGAGTACGCATAATTAAAATTGACAAAGTACGTAATAATTATATCCTAATGGAATAATTATTAATATTAGTAATTGTTAAAAACAGGTTGTATGCATACATAAAGATAAAAATATTAAATACATTCAGAGTTTCTGTTAATGTGGTCGGAAAAACCGGCTGGATTTCTTCAGCAAGAGACGCCCAGACAAGGTTTTTTATATTTAATTATTTTTATTCTGTGGGTATTTTTAACTTGGTCGCTAGTTTGACCAAGTTAAAAAATATACAAAACTTAAAACATCTTAGACTTCTCAAGATCAACAGAGGGCTTTGTAACTATTTTATAAGGGTTCTGTAGCTCGAGCCTTGTTGCTTGAGCACAGATCAGTAATTCGTGGCGCCAGCGGCCTCTAACTCGCCCTTAAATATTATGACGAATTTCCGGAGTAGTTATCGCCCGGACCCAGCGGGAGACGCCAAGTCTTTTAAGCAAATAAAGTCCCTTTATGGGAAATGGGAGATTGACGGTCCCCTGTTGTCTTATCGGCCACAGATCTGCCTGATCGGGTCCTATTAAAAAAAACATAAGTCTTTTTAATATCAAATTACGTATTCATTTCAGTACGAACCAGTGAACGAGCAATATCAGGAATGGACGTGCCCGTCAGTCCCAGTAAGCCCAGTACAGCGCAGGGCGTTAATGTGTCGCTTGTGAAGGGAGAAAAGGGTCTGGGATTCACCATAACCACGAGAGATAACCCCACGGGGGGACACTGTCCCATATACATCAAGAATATATTGCCTAAGGTACGATTTTTTGTTTGATGTTTCTTAAGTAATATGATTAAATTTTACTTTGCTCTTTAATTCTGCAATATACAATAGCATGGTGTACCCCAAGGATCAACCCCTACATTTATTTTTTTCTTTTGTTTATAAATGACTCCACTTATAATTGCTGTAGGTTTTCTCCTTTTCCTTATAACATACAAGTATTACAACTCGGATCTTAAGTCAACATCATTCCTTGAGTGGACAAAAATATTAAATAAAAAGATTTAGTTTAGATTGATGTCCTAAAACACGGGCCAAAATTTGCATGCATGGTTTTTGGCCCTGACTTGAAGCCTAATCGGGTCACGATACTCCTTTTATATAAATAAGCAAATTTCCATTAAAATGTTGTTTTTTGTTAAAAACGAATTTATTAAATTCTAGGGTGCAGCAGTAACTGACGGCAGACTTCGAGCTGGTGACAAACTGGTGTCAGTAAACGGTGTCAGCGTGGCAGGTCTGACGCAGCAGCAGGTCGTCGCACTGTTGAGGAATACTCCTACGGATTCCACTGTTGATATACGAATCGAGAGGCCGGCTGGGAGGACTCAGGTAATAAAGAGGAATTCTGTATTTGTAGATTTATCAACTTTTTGATGTTAATTCCAAATTTTTAATATACCAACCATATTTATAAGATTTTCTTAGTTTTGTTAGCCATCGGCATTGTCGAATAAAGTTAACAAAATACTACACAGTTACTTTATTAATATATTTTGAAGTTATACTTCTGTTGGCGCGTTAGAGAAAAATGATGAGAGTAAATTTTTACGATGCGCGCGCACACCGTCACATAAAACCGACACCCTGAAGTGAGCTATAGTGAACATTTTATTTTTTTGAAGTTATACTTCTGTTGGCGCGTTAGGGAAAAATGATGAGAGTAAATTTTTTCAATTGTTAGTGTCGTATTTTCTACAAACGTAGAATAAGGCGAAAGATAAAAAATTTAAAAGATTTTTATATTGCTACGCCAAAGAAGTTTAACTTCTAACGCGTGTATATAAGTACACACGCGTTGTTTATACGGCATTTCATATTCTTATGTTTAATTATATAACATTTAAATATTTTTATTTTCTTGAGTACCCATACCTTTAAAGATTATTAAAATAATTAATTTTGATTGTTTCCGGTACTGGTGTATTTATACTTTTGCTGTAATTTAATTATTTACTTAAATTCATAAAATTATAATTAAATTTATGAGACCGGCTACGCACTCGCGAGCCCTCTGGCATTGAGAGTGTCCATGGGCGGCAGTATCACTTAACATCAGGTGAGACTCCTGCCCGTTTGCCCCCCGTTCTATAAGTATAAATAAAGCACTCCTCTGTTCCAGATATATTTACATATATACAGTTTCTAAACTAAGAAACTTGTATTTTCATGATTATATGTGATTCTTTCTTCCATTTTTCAGTGGGTAGAGCCTCAACAGAGTCCGACAAAATACATAGAAAAGGCCATAGGCGCCCCACCGAAATCAGCAGACACAGAAAAAGCTGTAGAAAACGGTAGAGTCTCCAGTATAGTGAACGCCATAAACAATAATTCTAACTCTGTCCGAGGAAGAATTTCTAAGAGTTCGTCTAAAGATGATCTGAAAGACCAGTCATTGGACTCGGCGTTGCAGGATGCGCTTAACTCGTCAACTGGTTCAGTAAGTTTAATAATATTTTTAAGCTATTGCATAGATTTTATCGCGGGCTTAGACCGCGGCGACCGAATCAAGAAATTCCGTAACGAAAATAAAAACCTAACACGATGACGTAATATACGCGTTAGAGCGCTACAGAACGCATACTGCGTATTCACATCTCTCTGACGAGATCGGTGACGTAGCGTAAGCGCGGCCGGTGCAGCCGGTACGCGTTAGAGTGAGACAGACTATATAAGCGTGTTAGTCTGGGTACAGTGGTAGATTGAATTAATATCAAAGAAAAAAAATACGGCTTAAATAAAAAAATAAATAAATAATTATAATTGCATAAGTTGTTAAAAAATGCTATGCTTTACCGCGGCAGTCCCCGAGTGCCACACGTTTTTTTTATATATATTTTTAAAGCTATGTATATTTAATTTCTTAAACCTATTTCCTGCACAAAATCACCCTTTTAAGCTAAAAATAACGCCTGCCAAAAAATGTGAATTAGTTTTTATGAAATATCTTTTTTACAGGTAACAAACCTTAGAAATCGCCTCATACTCCGCTTAGAAGTGCCTGTACACGAATCGGAGAAAGCCGGCCTCGGTATCAGTGTGAAGGGAAAAGTGACTGCGACGCCGAAGCCCCACGATTTGGGGATTTTCATCAAATCTGTGTTACACGGTGGAGCCGCTTCCCGAGATGGCAGGTATGGCATTTTCCGATCAAAGACTTTTATTTTTAATTACAAATAATTCATGATTTTATTACCACCATTTTAATATGTTCATAATTATCTTTTAATTTTGTTTTTGTGGAAATTCAAAATTCACGAAATTGTTTAAGGTGATATCAGACGGTTCATTTTTTTGTTCATTTTCACCTTTCATTCGGTACATTTCACTCGAAATGAAATGTCTGAACAAAAAAATGAAACACGAGTGCCGAATGAATTCATTAGTGAACCGATCCAACAGTGTTGGATATTGGCATCCGGTATCTTTCATTCCCACTCCGAATGAACGAGAAATGAACGGTCTGAACACTGAGAGAACGTTCATTCGGATTCGGCCATTATGTTTCGAGTCCTGTAGCCGACGGACATCACGTTGTCGACGAAGTTATAACTTTTTTTTCTGTGTGTTATTATATTGTTTTCATGCGGCAAAATGTTGTTCAAGTGGAACGATCAAAATACATTACTTTTTTTGGAGATATTAAAAAATTATCAATGCCTTTGGAACCACAAAATTGTTGAATACAAAGACCGAACAATGCGGGCAAACTCTATAAAATCTATAATCCAACTCAACTTTTTGATTAAATGATCACAAATTAAACTAATTCCAAGACGTACGACTTCATTCGATGACATATTTAAAAGAAATAACAATGAATGTTCATTTCTGTATCATTTCGTCTAAGCCGTGTGAACATAGAATGAAAAAAAATTAAGCATTCACTCGAGTGAACAATCATTCGAGTGAACCGTCTGATATCACCTTTAGACTACATTTCTAGTATAGGAAAAAACTTTAATTAATGTATGTCTAGAATTACTTTAAAGGGGACAAAATATGTACCATTAAGGAATGAATAAATATTTTTGAAAAAAAAAGCTTGAATTCGCGATACTCACTGATATTTGATTTTTTTTACTACTTACAGAGTTTCTATTTTGACGCATGTCGCAGGTTTTCCTAGCTTTAAATCCCGAGATAAAAATAAAATGTTGTAGATATCAAAGCACTTGATACAAACACCTGTTTATGAATGCATTAAGTATCTATATGTATCATCATCATCACCAATGGCTCCAAGCCAACAGCCTTAGCCTCCTCGTGTATATGTCATGCTTCTTGGGTCCAACTTCGAACCCCGAAAGTTATAAAAATAACTAACTCTAAAGTAATCGAAGCTATTTCAATATTTTGTCAATTTAATAAAAGCGTTAAAATAATTCCAGATTACACACAAACGACCAGCTCCTAAGCGTGAACGGCGTGTCTCTGGTCGGTCAATCCAACGCCGAAGCCATGGAGACCCTTCGAAGAGCCCTCCTTCATTCCAGGCCCAACCTGCACGGCACCATTTCCTTGACCATCGCCAGGCGGACGGGTAATTATTTTATTTGAGAGATATTGCTTATTGTTGCTAACATTGGATACACAAAATTGGTCCTTCGGATAATTCTGTCGTGTAGAATTTAAATATAAACCTCTGTCTTAAACCCTAGCACGTTAATCAAACTTAAATGTAGCTTCAATAGTTGTCAAATCATTTAGTTTTGTATGAATTTGACATATTTGACATTGCCTAAGTCGAGATTGTGATCTGAGATAAGAAATAGAATTATATCAGTTATATTGAAGTTTACCACGTCATACATAATGCTATATTCACAGTATGTTACAAGCAATTTTTTCTAAAATATATGAACGTTTTGGTAAAGTTAAAAAAAATAACATAATAATAACAAAAAAAAATACCAGCAAAACGATATATGAGACTTGCTTTATTTAAAATTGATCAGACCACTGCCGATGTCATTGAGAGTAAGCTGTATGTATGGCTTTAAAACGTGAAATAAAGTTAAATAAATTGTAAATAAGCATTTATTTATCAAAATTAAAGAATGTTATATATGTGTTGAATAGCGGAAAAAACTCCATGTATCATCGTCATTAGTTTTAAGGATCGCTCACGACCACTAATCCAACATTTTTTTTTTTTTTCTTTTCGCCCATGGCGCAGGCTATAGTCTTTTGACCATACCGCCTAGTCTTTCGTATAATTTTTCCTTTAATTATATATTAAGTTCATTTATGACTAACATTGAAATGAAATGAATTTCACAGACAGCATGGACAGCCTGGCACGGTGGAAAGACGACACGCCCCCAAACGGAAACGACACCACCAGCTCCAACGACAACTCCAACTTCAACACCGTCATTTACAACGACAACAAACAGACGGACGCCAACTACGACAAGAAACACACATCAGTCGTCACGATTAATAATAATAGCTGGATTTCCAACCAATCAGACGACAGCAAGGGATATCTGGAGAGGGAAGATGCGATCCCTCACGATAGTAAGAGAGACAGCTTCGAGTGGAGCCGTTTGGACGGTTGGAATCCAGTGATAGACAGACTGACGGGACTGAGGAACGAGAGTTATTATATGGCGACGCAAGAGGTGCCGAATGGAAATCTGAGGAGTATGGGCCACGTGCACATGTCTAGATCGCCGCCTGCGCATCATAATGTTATTATTGAGGAGGATTATGGCACTAGGTAAGTTTTTGTCTTACCTAATGTAGCTGGTTCGCGGGTGTGCTGTCGGCCTTTTAGAATCAGCCTTTTATAATATTCGAGTTTAGTGTGTTTGTCTAGTTCATAATTCAGAGCATTCATATCTGTCCCATACCCGGTTTTGAACCTGAGAAAAGATATACGGTCAACCATTCAACTACTGTACTAACATTACTATTGTATCAAAGACCTTTATTCTACAATATATTTTTATCTTGGCCTTCAGCGTGCGACTCCTTCTTCATCCTTGAGGTCATAGGTTCGATGCCCGGCCGTTCAGCAATGGATTTTCTTTCTATGTGCGCATGTAACATTCGCTCGAACGGTTAAGGAAAACATCGTGAAGAAACTTGTCTTAGACCCAAAATGTCGACAGCGTGTGTCAGGCACAGAAGGCTGATCACCTACTTGCCTATTAGATTCCCAAATGATCATGAAATAGATACAGAAATCTGAGGCCAGGACCTAAAAAAGATTGTAGTGCCACTGTTTTTTTTATTCCTATTTTCCAATAAACAATAGAATAATGAACAGGGGAAGCGTCGGGGGCGAGTCGGGCAGCGAGTGCGGAGTCAACACGAATGGCTTCAGCCGAGATGCGATCGGGAGGCGGTCCATGTCCGAGAAGAGACACGCCGCACTCGACGCCAAGACCACGGGGACCTACAAGAAGATCAAGGAAATTAAGGCCAGCGGTATGTCCAACAAATATATTATATCACTAATATATATATATTTAATTCCAACAGAAATGCTACCAGCGTTAAAGGTACATTGCCACGGGGACCAAACTTTTTAAATATGTTTTAATTTTCTATTTATTAATTTGTAATCATTACTTAATTGTTATTTGGTTAAAAATATTGTAGAATACTATCACTTATTAATAATTAATCTATACTTACCTAAATAAACAAAACTAAAACTTAATTTATTTAACTATAAAAATTTAACCAAAGAATGAATATAATAATAGTTACTATCGAATTTTTGGATGTCGGTACAGTTTCAAACATCACCTAACAAGATCTATATATCGTCGCTGTAGAATGATAACCTCGTATGTCCATAGAACCAAACATTACAGGAAACGAAAAATGTTTAATTTCGTCAATGTTCGTTAAAATATTATCATGTGTTTTTGTCCATAGTTTTAGATGGCAAAAAGACTTATTTATTAATATCATAAATAAGTCCTTACTTCATGATTACCAGTTAAATGACATAATAAATATGACAAAATAATGAATAAAAAATAAATGGTTTTTTGACATACGAGGTTATCTTTCTACAGTGACGATATATTACGAAAATTTTACGACTTGACACGTTTGATATATTTCATTTTATTCTTCGTATATTGCTTTATATAATCGGTAGTGCGCTGAAAAATTAAAAAAAACATTAATAAGTGCCTATTTGATACCTAATCCGCTGTTTTGCTAGTTTTTTTTGCTTTACAAAGCTTTTTTTTTCCTTTTTTAGCACAGATTTACTCTGGTGCTCTCTGATCTAAAAGTTTAATATTTTTAATATATAAAATATATGTTCACCATAATTGTCACATATTTTAGAATAGCTTGTAACATATACTGTTGAAAATGTATTATAAAATATGTGATATACTTTAATAAATAAATAAATTCCTATCGTAATAATCAATTAAGAAACATTGATAATACATTAAATATTGTTTTAAAGGTATGTAATGATAAATAATTCCAAGTTGAATTTCTTCCAGCTGCACCAGTGGGTCCCTCCTTGGGCATGCGCAAGTCATCGAGTCTGGAGTCGCTGCAAACCGCCATACAGGAGACGAAGCGAAACCCGCGGCACGAGCCTATATACGCTCGGGCACATCCACGTAAGACTTGCAGATATATTACGATCTCTCTTCGCTTATATATTTTTTTTTACTTAACCTATCTTTTTCGTAGCTAAATACCAACATATGGAACATTTTGCTATGCTACCCCATAGAGACAGTTCGCTTTCCCGGAATCAAAACCTAAGTACTCATTTTTTTTTATATTTCTCATAAAGAATACATTAAATTTACTTGATTGGTCCATACGTCTTGGATTTTGTGCTAAGCAGCCTATTTTGCGTTTCTTTTTAATTTATATTAAAAATTATGTTGGTTAATTAAAAAAACAACATTATTCTAAATTATGTCAAAATTTCTTAATCGTTTTGATGAACCTTTAATGACAATGAACCCTAGATTAGGTCATATGTGGGTCGAGACAAAAAGTTATTATTTTTAGGATAAAATAAATTTGTTTAATTAGTTAGCAATTTATTAATTCCATTAGTATATATAACTATTTCTTGCATGTGATTTATATCATAGTACAAGTAGCAGATGAATAAATTATTTCTTTCAGCTCTGAAACACTGGTTGACCGACGACAATAATGCCCCAGAGATCATCCGGGGCTCACCTCAACAATCATCTCTGTCCCACAAGAAACCATCGCTGCTCAAATCAATATCTACGATGTTCAGGTATGTTGTTGGGATGGTGCCCTTATTTATAAAAGCTAAATCACTGAAATTGCACCGTTTTTAACTATAGTATCTGTCTCTGTACATCACAGCGTAAACACAATTTGACAGAAAGAGACAAAAGATTACTTCAGATAAAGTACTGCAATTAGACAGATTGAATTTTTATGAATAATGGGATTCAAATTTTCGCAATACTAAAAAAAAATATAAATCAATCAAACATACTATAAACCTGTATTAGCTATTAATTGTTTAATTTTTACGCCTTTTCTAAACAAACCTTACTCGACAACCGGAACGGTTTCAAAATTTCTACCTTTAAAATGGTACTTATTTCATAAATATTTTGAAATATAAACGGTCAATCGTGCAAAGTCAAAAATATCAAATATCTGAATTTGCCCAGGATCGGCAAACCTCACAAGAAAGAAGACGTGTACGGGAGATCGACGCCCGCGCGTTCTTCGGAGAAGTCGCTCGCACGAGACGCGATGGAGAGACACCGAGATGAGAGAATTGAGGACGTACACACGCGCAGGTATATATTTTGTTATATACGGAGTGATTGAATTATTACATAGATATTACTATTATTTGGTTTCTCTTCAGTCTGCTTTTGATAGCTTTTTTATAGAACAGAGGGCAAACGGGCAGGAGGCTCATCTGATGTTATGTGAGGACATGCCCATGGACAGACTCAATGCCAGAGTTCTCGCGTTGCAGGCCATTAAAGCCAATTTTTCAGTTATATAGCAATATATTTAAAAAAACTTGCACCACTATGCACCAACCTGAATTTCCTATAATATAATAGTAAAAATATTTATTGAATCGAATATTTGACTATTACTACTGACAGTTTCGAGTTCTAACTTCTACGAAGAAGTTAGCCCGTAGTTAGGTTAGTGCAGCGAACAAATTTAAAGAGTTAACTATTGACATTGATATGTTCGCCACGAGTATGGTGACAGCGAGGAAAGCTTTGACACAAAATTATTTCGATCATGATGAATGAAGTACATTTATAAACTTTCATTGTCAACTAATTAAATTCTAGTTTTTTGTTTTGCAACCTAAATATTCTTATTTTATAAAAAAAAAATATATGTGAAGATTTTTAATTGGCCTACAATGTTATATATATATACATCTATTTGTGTTGTGCTGTAAATCTTTTGAATAAATAAAAATAGTGTGTAATGGAGTGTATATTTAAAATCGATAAAAAACAAAACGATAGAAATGCTAATAAATTACCCTTCTGAGTTCATCGGGTATTCATTTAATATTACATTTGTTACAGAGAAGAGCTCCGAAGCAGACAAAACAGTGAGCGAAGTACGCGCTCCGATCGACGAAATGGGCCCGCCATACAGGTAATATATTTTTGACTATAGCCTTCTGTCAATAAATTAATTTTGGATGAACGTACTTTATCAGTTTGTATGATGATTTGTTTGTTTAATAATCCTTTACTAATTTGGTGCTAACTTCGACCTCACTTGTGATACAATAATTACAAGCTGGGAATAGAGTAAATGGAGAATTGCATTCCTTTGAAGCGAAGAAATCAAATGTGGCTTATGAGAGAAATTAATGAGAAAAATGCCGGAAATGAGAGTGTTAAGGACCTATGGTCGCCTAACTCCAAAAAAGTACATTGTTTCTTTCCATTTTTTGTCATGGTTTCTTGAAGTAGAGATAATGGAAAAAATATATGGTGGAGTTGAGTAGTTAATGTATCCATTTTTAAAGATCGATACACGATTTAAATAACTTCGCTTGATAGAAAAAAAATCCAAACATAGCCAATTTTTGACACTTTAAATTCCTTTTATGACGAAAATGTATATAGAACATGATTTTGAAATTTACACGATATATTTTATCGCAAGCCAAGTAATCCATTTCAGAAAAAAAATTTATAAAATTAGGTACATTAATTTAATGTTTTACATAACTAATTGTTATTACGGGCCGGCGCGCCTCAGTGCTCCAGCTCTCAACTGCGCCCCGAGACACTGACCCAGTAATTCATGCCGGGGTAGGGCCTTACGAAATTACGTGTTTGTAACATTGCGCGATAGAAAAACAGCAGTGTGGGTTAAAATTGGAGATACCTAATGACCAGTGACTGGAGTGATTGGAGATACCAGACCATGATTAGGTGGCTTGGCCATTTAGAACAGATGTATGAGGAGCAGTTAGTACGTTGGATAAATGGATGAAGCGAGAGTATGTCACGACCGTAGTGCAGGTGGAGATCTCTGACTACCCCTTCGGGAAAAATACAAGTTATTTTTGTTTTCAGGCAATGGAGAGCGCGTGGGGACCTACAGGCCATTATGTTAATTATGAAGAAATCCAACAAAACCTAAAGTGAGTTGAGCTTTTTATACTATAGGCCTCCAGCACAAAATTCCATTTGATTGTGATTAATATTTCCCTGTATGTAATGTATCCCTGATTAGTGATACTGATGATGACGTGTTAGCTTAATTTGCAAATAAACCTTTAATTTTGTCATAAAATCACATAGAAATTGTCATTCGTGAATGATATCTTCAAAAATTATCCTCATTCGTAAAAATAACTTTGAGGACATAATTTTTCTGCAAATTGCGCGATCTAGTTAACTAAATCGGCGTCAGTTTTATCGTAAAACCCAAGACTATTTTATTGGTATCATTACTGAAAATGACATTCATTCAGCAACTACAAATTCAGCACTGGGGAAATTAAATAATTATTATAAAAAGTCATATAATTTTGACGTATCTACTCGTAATTAAGGTAAAACACGGATATAAAAATATAATTCAAACTGAGTTAATATAATTTAATAAAATTTTACTTTTGCAAACGTAGATACTTTAATTGTAGCCTGTTCGTAATCAAAGTCATAAACTTGTAAATAGCAAAGATGCATTAAAAAAAATACTTTTGCATGAGAATCGAAACCAGTTAAACACCAAACATAACCTGTATTGACAAAAATTGATAACAAACGTGTTATATAAAATAATAAAAATAAATTCTTAACATTTAAGTGACATTATTATTATATAGTATACATTTATTTCCAAAAAACCTTTGAATGCAGCTTTGATCTTTCAAATATTTCCTAATCGTAAGATTTTTATTAATTATGTCTATTGTGACTGGCCTGGCCATATTCGAGTAAAGTGCATGCACATGTGCGTTCCGAATACACAAGTTATTCCACATTTCTCTTACTCTCGGATGGGTAAGATGTCCGACTTAACCAGAATAAATATGAGTATAACTTTTTTTACTAATTCTTATTGGCACTGATGAGTCCTTGCATTAGATGAAAAAAATACAGAATGTAGATATTTTCGAATTTTAATACGAATTAGTAAAAAAATTAATTTTCTTATAAAAACGCAACATAAATTATAACTCTGCAAGGGTTGAGCTTAGGGACCTACCGTAGAACAATTTTTTGCAGCTGATGACCTCATCTATACGTATATATTTGCGTTTGATCCACGACTTTTTGGCCAACCTGGTTATGGTTAAATTAGCCGCGAAAAATCATTTTTTTAAGATTATCGGGTAAAATAGAAATAGAAAACAAAATTTAAAAAATATATTAGGTCTTTTTTTCATCTCCCTCGCCAGTTTTTGGTTTTAATTTTTTTAAATGTCTGTTATAGGTATATATGTATCGCTAATACTCAGGCTACAACCCCTCTGGGTGGTAAAATTCTGTCCTCGATTCGACACACTGAATAAAAATTATTCCCTCAGGCTTGCTATAACATTCACAAAGTGACCTCATTATGAAAAACGTAATATTTTTAGCCTCTCTTGGGGTTTCTTTCTAATATCTTAAGTTGAAAAATTCAGTTTTTCGACAGATTATTTATGTATTTTAAAAACATTTGTCTTTTGTGTTAATAATTTATATTAGATGCTTTTTTCGAACTAAATATCATGAGACAATTTCCTACTACAGGATTAACAAATAACTCGAAAGAGCAGATAGCAATAGAGCGGGCACTAACCAAACCACTCGTAGATTTGATTTTATCTAAGTATGTGATGCATGAATTAAAAACAATAAAAATGTATTGATCCTTCACTCTAATTTCAATTTCTAATTAAAAACACAATACAATATAAATTCCTCGAAACAAAAAAACACACAGTCTCCTCTAACTTTTGCCTAATGTAGTTTTTATTCAATCATGGCGAGTATTATGGCGCCAAACATTATTTGAATTACAGCACATTAGTTGGGCCGAGAGCTGTTACTAGCGAATTTATTATATATTTTATAGTTTACGAGTTATTTAAATAAAAATCACATGGCGTTAACTTAATTTTTGTTCCGCGAAACACCTTATGGTCCGTCTCATCTCGCACGAATATCAGGCATACGTTTGTTTCACTAGTCACTAGACCGGATGGCGTCGGCTTAGCGCGCCTCTTAACGCTAAATTTGAGAGTACCTACCCAAACTCTCTCTTTTTACTTACAGTCATTACGATAATTAATTTATTGCTTTATTTAGTGCGCGGCGAGAGAAACTAAGCGAAGTACAAATCGGTCAAATGCGGCGGCAAGTTCACGCGCAGCGAGCGAAAGCCGAGGAAGAAAGGTGAATATTAAATAATCTTCAACAAATCATTATAAAACGTATTATATCTGTCATATATTGAGTATTCTATTTTTCACCCATGATGAACTATAGCTATACTAAGATTTATAAGTACAACAACTGCCATCTATTGATCGGCATGATAATCAACTAATTGACTAAACAACGCCCATGTAATCCTGCTCAAGTTTCCCACACCAATATTTATTGTTCCAAATCGATGTTCGATTGTAGCAACCACTAGCAAAGATAATGATATATGAGTTAACATCATATACCATACAAAACAAGTAGAATTGGAAGGTTTTAGATTACAATTGAGAAAAGTGTCTAAATAATAAAGTGTCTAATTGGTATAATGAAATCGACAAATGAATTATTTATTTCGTAATCCCACTGCTAACATAAAAAATATGAAACAAAAATAAATTATACAGAAGTTATAGCCAAAGATGGAATACATAATATATACAAATAGGTTCAAACACTTACGAAAAGAATCAATAAAAATTTGTTTCACCGGAACAATCTACGAACCTAAAAATGAAACATTTCATTATATTAATTAATATACTTTGTTTCACAAAATTTGCACCATTGATAATAATTGAATTCTCTCAACTATATTTCTTTTCAATCTTCATTTGTTTGCTTGATTTATATTGTACATATAGTCAATATTTTCCCGTGTTTAATCAGAGTCATACAGAATAACAATTACGTGACGGCTTCTAATGGTCTATTAATACATTTACATGATTAAAGGACAATGCATTATGTATTTATTTGTTTCTAACGCAATTGCAATATAGGCATTGAGAACTGCTGAACCAATAATAAAACGAAAACAAACCAACATTTCAAATCTTTCAGGTCTGGGCCTCTTCTTCTGTATCTGTTTCATGATCATTTGGCAATCTAATAGACAGTCAGCCTGTGCTTGACACACTTTCGATTATTTTGGGTCTAAGGCAAGCCGGTTTCCTCACGTTTCCTTCACCGGTCGAGCGAATGTTATATACGCACATAGACAGAAATTCCATTGGCACAGCCGGGGATCGAACCTACAACGTCAAGGATGATAGTCGCACTGAAGCCACTAGGCCAAAACTTCTGCTTACCAAATAATACCCCTCTAAATTCTTCTTGTAAATAATAAATTAAAATCTCATAGAAATTTTCCATTTGGAGACAGAAAACATTCAATCATTATTTAAGGAATAAAATAAATTTGGTTATTATAAGCGATGTTGTTTACACTGGAATTCGTGATTCCAAATTTAGATATGTAAATTGTTCACGTGTTAGCCACGCGTGTCCATTTGAATATGTGAGACAGTGAATATAAAACAATTAAAATTATTATCTTAAAATAGTCTTTTAAGTACAAGTGCCATAATATATTAAAATGCAATACAAAAATTTATTTGGTAATTTTTTTGTAATTTCCCAAAATTCAGTATCAAACTGTAACACTGATTTTAACACTTGCTTGTATGGTTAAGGAAACATCGTGACGAAAGGAGCATGACTTAGTAGAGTAGAAGTTAATTATTTAATTATAAGCGATTTGACTCTTGTACGTCAAAGGCGTATTGAATTTGACATACACAAGTCATAACTTACCGTAAGTGTCGACTCTCGAATCATTAGACCCAAAAATCGGCGTCTGCTGGCTATTTGTACATTTAGCATTGCTAAATTAGCCTTTTGTAATGGTTTTATATGTAAATTTTAGATAATACTGTAGCATTAGAAAGAGAATTACACAATTCAATTATTTTAATAATAGATATAATCGAATTAGTGCAAAGGGAGCGTTCAAGTATTATGTCACGCAATTTTTGGAGATTATTGACACCCCCCCTTCCATATAACGCGCCGTAACGTTTTTCTGTACCCAATACTAAAACGTTTCATGACCACGCAGTGACTCTTTATACCTAAAAGTTACCATAATGTGGTGTAAAGTACTGGAAAGTCGAGAATAATATTAACAATAACGCGTTATTTAATCCCCGCCCCGCATCGTAAAGTTTTACGAGAGGAGACTCCCCTGTTTGACAATGGTTTTAATTGTGTGATTGCTGCGTATTATTTATACTATTTTAAGGCAAATTAATGTCTGTCTGTGTTTCTTTTTCTTTTTCATTAACATTTTTCTTTTCTACCCGGAATTCAAATCCTCTTAGACACCGTTATTTTATAATTTTAGCGTAAATTATAAAATAACGGTGTCTAAGAATTATTTGAAATTTCTTAAATATTAATAGTTTATTAAATATTGGCAAAAAACTAAATGCCATTTTTTTTTCATCTTTAATTGTCTAAAACTTTTGCAATTTTTTATGTGCTAATACACGCTTTTAGCACATTTTTCTAGACGTCATTCCGGATCCAATGAGCTATCGCACATAATTTTAAGAGCAGTATCTCTATTTTGTTCCATTTTCAACTTGTCGACTAGACTACTGCATTTCTTGAAGAGTGTTCAGAGTTTCGGACTAATGCCTGCAGCTGAGTTTCATCATCGGACGTCAAGTCAGAATACAAAATACCATCCGTATCACCTCGACGTCCGTCGTTCCATAACTGAGCGTTTCTTAAGGCTATTTTTGCCGCGCACCACCACTATGTGGAACCAGCTATCTACTTATGTATTCTTAATAGGCCGGCAACGTACTTGCGAGCCTTCTGGTAATGTGAGTGTTCTTGTGCGGCGGCATCACTTAACATCAGGTGAGCCTCCTGCCCGTTTGCATCCTATTACATTAAAAAAGACCTTTATAAAGGAATTTATATTAATTTTTTTATTCTTTTCTGCTTGCCCGATGTCTATTGGTAAGGTCTACGTGTTTTGTAATACATTTATGTGTTTAATTCGGCCTATATACTGCGTTTCGCCACTGCAATTGAATTATCCCATCTGTTATCATCATAGGTATGTAATTTTGTGACCAAAGTTTCAGCCGTGCGTGAGGTAATTGCTACTAGAAGAAATTGTCGTATCGCTTTGAGGACATGCGAGGCTGATAAATTTTATAACAGTCTTCATGTCTTTAGGCGTAAAATAACAATTGCAAAGAAGAAATATATCTATTACATTTTTAAATTGCATATTTGTATTTCCATATCTAGTTTATTGTCGTTTATTTTTATGGTATTATTTATTTTCTCTTTTATCATTGTAATGTTACCGTTAAGTGTCGTGTTTGTATGTTTCTGTGAGTGTCTGTATGCGTTTCATTTTAGTGCCTTTAAAAAAAATACGGATTTTCTTGATAAAGTTCATTTAAATATCATCAATATCTATTGCTATTTCTGCTAATATTTCAAAGCAACTTTACTTTGTAACCTCTAATACCGATACTGTCCCGATTATTGAAAGAACTAAATTGAATTTGCATACAAAAACGGCGGCATTTGCTCTTGGAAGTTACAGAGTACGGATTTAGGGAAACTTCGGAAAATAAATGTTTTAATTTCCGACTAATTAACACAACAACAACTTTTCTTTTGATATATTTTTGGTTTGTTGTATACTTGAATACTTGGTTTCACAATAAATTATTGCTTGAAGAACTCGACTGAAAATTTGGGGCCAGGGGGCACTCCTTTGTTGCGCCGAGGCCTCCAGAGCTCTAAATCCTTGACAAAAAGTCTTGATAATTCGTTAATGGTTTGCTACACACGAGTATATATTATTTAAAATTAAGACCCGTAACACAAACAAAAATCCATACTATTAATACTGTACAAGAAATTACGCTTTTAATAAATCACTTGACTTGGTTTGACTTGAGGATTTCACTTTCCGTATAATTATATAAGATCCATTTACTTAAAACTTAATTACCTGTGAATGAGATCCTTTTATCGTAATTATCTTTCAACTTTATTTTAATGCTAATAATATATAATAAAGGAGAGAAGAGTTTTTACACGCTTTATATTAGTTTCACCTGTATGTATGTATGTATGTAACCGACTCCTTCGGACTCGATTTTGACGCACTTTTAACGGACAGATTTAATTCAAACTTTGCGCACCTGTCAAAGATCGATGACAATGCAATAATCCGAAAAAAAATGAAAAAAAAATAATAATAATATGTAGTTTAAAAAAAGCGCTCTGTCGAGCAACCCACGCTTTTTCACAATAATACCAGTATTTTTTGTTCATTACCATTTTCATCCTAAATTAGGAATTATTTTTCACTTTTTAGTTTGATGTGCTTTAAAAGCGTGTGTTCTAGTTTTTTTAAACTATTATTTATTATCATTTATTTTTATATAACAGGAGGCTCACCTGATGTTAAGTGATACGTCGGCCATGGTCACTCAATGGCAGAAAGCTCGCGAATGCCTTGGGAGTCTTTTAAAATTTTTTTCGTTCTTTTCTTGACCCTAAGTCGAATTGGTTAGGAAATACTTCAGTAAAATTAATTGTCTCATTCTAAAAAAACCTTCGTTTTATTTACTTACTGATACGATGCATACGGGAAACGATTTCGTTTTTTGTGATGTATAATAAAATGCACGTAGCATTTATATAATAAATTTAAAGTTGTGTTATTTAATTGTATCCGTCTGAGAAAATATTTTTTTTATTTTATATAATTAATTTGCCGGTAAATTAATTAATGATCAAACTGTCGTTATATTATTTATTTTATATTATTAATGTCTTATACAGATAGATAAATATCTCAAAATAAATTAGCATCCTCATTTAGCCCTGAGATTTTTTGTTAAAACTGATTACTACTGGAACAGGATTTTAATTTTAGTTTCGATTGAATCGAATAAAGCTCACTCACAATAATTTCATACAGACTACGCTCTTGTTTTACAGTATTTGTATAATCAGTGATATATTCTCTCGAATTTTACACAAAGGCAACATTAATAAAGCGTATAAATTGTTTTTTGAATTTGAGTCAACCAGTATTATATTCGAAATTGTCGAATTCGACGGTTGGTAAGGTGTTTACCGCATTTAGTA